CCCTGCTTGTGCAGGCCTTTGCAGTGTGCCAAGTGCAAAGCTTTTGTGGCATTTGCTTGGGTTCTGAMCTGTGAGTTTATAAATGGGATGGTGATGTGTGCTGACAGCAAATGAGGAACACTACCTTGGCAGCCCTGAGTTGTCTTTCTTTGCCTCAACTTTGTTCTGGAAGGAAAAGTTCTGAAGGTCCGGGAATCTTYCAGTCTCACCCTATTAGCTTATTTTCCTGACTGTGGCACTGGTTTCATATGTTGCTTCTCGTCTTTTGACACAAAAGTTGATTTTACAGGGTCTTTTGAGTCCATAAAATTCATGAAGTTTTCCTGCTGCAAACAGGCCAGGCCAGTGTAGCTGTAGAAGTTTCAGTSGATATATTTTTCTTCACTAAACTGCTATATACTTCTGTACTACTGTAGAMAAAATAAATGTTCTTGATTCCTCTGATTTCCTTTTTACTGTTGTCCAATTAAGTTTCATAAATAAACATTTGTGAAACTAGTTCAAATTCTCAAGAGTGATGAAAGGGATTGTGTTGCTTGTGCTGTAAACTGCTTCTTGATTCATCAGTTTTCTTGAGGTAAAAGGCAAAATCTGCCAAAGTTTTCAGTTATCTTTCGCAAGAAAGGGTAAGGGAGGAGCGTGCATTTGTTAAGGTTTTCAGGGTTTAAAGACTATGGCTTTCACTTCCTGTCTTTGGTGTTAGGGCTGTTTCAGGTWGATGGAAGTTGGAATATCAATAATATGTCATTTGAGTGGGATTTTGGATTTTTTTGTTTTGTTTTGATTACTTACTTGTGTGGTCCAGCACGGGAATAAGTTGCCCATTGGGGCTGTGAAACTTYGGAGGTAAATAGTACTTGACTGGAGAAGTTTCTGAGTAAGTGTTTTGAGCCTTGCTGAGAGTAGGGTTTTGTGCTAGATGAAGACTCATATTCAAAGGTTCTTTCCAACCTAAATTGTTTTGTGGCTCTGTAATTTTATGTTTTGATAATTCTGAGGGGCAGAGAATCCTCCACTCTTTCCAAGCTTGACCAACCACAGTGGTGAAAATTTTTTTCTTTTGTTATAGTTGGAATTTCACATCTTCCAAATCATGTCCAGTATTGTTTACTTCTGAACTGTCTCTATTTCTAATATAACCATTTTGTTGAGGACAGGAATAAGACTTGTCTCTCCCTTTTTTATTCTGAGTCTTGATAAAAACATTCCTCTCATCTTTTCCATATATGTAACATGCTCAAAGSCCCTTGCTCTCTTAGCAGTACTTCTCTGTAGACACTAACACAATTGTTAAAAAAAATGCACAAAAMATTAATAAACCCAGTTTGGAACACCAAATGATTGTTTGGTTCTATTATGCTAAGTAAAAATTTCTTCCTAAGGGAAAGTTTTTTAAAAATAAAAAWTTTAAAATTAAAGTTCATGTGCACCATCTGTGATATGCAAACTTAGTGGCCAACTGTATGTGCAAATAAGAGATGGAAAATGAAGGCTTCTGTGGTCTCACAGAAAGAAAAGGGAGAAGGTTGGCTCCAAAGAATTTATTGCCCTTAGAATGATGTAGCTAGAGAGATTATATAACTTACTCTAGATAGTAAACAGTTCAAGCAGAAGTGCTATATGACAAGACAGAACGATTTGTGTGTGATTCATTGTGAAAAAGAAGGGAGAGTAGTAATTTGCTAATGTGGAAACTGTCCTCATCCAGCCCTTTGTGCCCTTCACTGTATTTCTTCCTACATTTTTTTTCCACTGAAGAAAGATGGTCAGTTCTCCCCTGCTYCCTTTTTTTAATTTGCCTCCCAATACCCTTATGCAATTAATGATGAGTTGTAGAGAAGAATGAACTYACAGCCACCCTTTCAATTGTTTTTGCCTTTTGCTCAATTTCCAGTTTAGACTCCATAGTTGGTTTTGTTGTTCAGAAACAGAAAAAGCTTTTTGATAAAAACAGTTGGTTGCACATTCAATTCAAAAAAGCAGTTCAGTAAAAATAAATCATCAGCTCATAGAGGAATCTTTATGAATAAACTTTGCACCCTGGGATGCTGAAAGTAATGGAACAGCTAATCTTAGAAATCATGCCCAGGCACATGAAGGACATGAAAACCATGAGGAGTAATCAACATGGCTGATCACCAAGGGAGAGTTGTGCTTGACTGACCTGTAAACTTCTACAATTAAACAACTGCCCTAGTAGTTAGGGGAAGAAGAGAGTCTATCTGGGCTCCAATAAAGCCTTTATTTGCTCTCTTATAAGAGTCCCACAGTCTCCCAAGCTGTTGCTGTMGGGACTGGTTGATCAGACAGTAAGGTGGATTGAAAACTGGCTGAATGGTTGGGCCCTGAGGRTGGTGATGTAAGGTGCAAAGTCTGTTTGGAAGCTGTATCTTCATGATAGGGTGCAGTTTACTTTCATCAAGTTTGCTGATGACATAGAGCTGGTCATCCAGATGGAGTGGCTGCCATCAAGAGGGACCTGACAGCTGAGGAAATGGGCTGACAGGAACCTCAGCTAGCAGTGCAAAGTCCTGTAACTGGCAAGGAAGAGCCCTATGCATCAGCAGTGCAGGAGTCCAGCCAGGTAGAAAGATTGGTTGAAATGGACCTGGGAGTGCTGGTGGACATGAACCAGAGTGGTGTTCTTGCTGTATGGAAGGCTACTGGTATCTGGTATGGATGCTGCTGATAATACTGGTATCTACTGGTATGGAAGGCTGCATGAGAAGTATTGCCAAGCAAACAGGATGTGCCATCCCCTCTGCTCAGCACTGGTGAGTGCTGCATTCAGCTCTAGGCTCCTCAGGAGAAGGCTGATATGGAGCTATTGCAGAGAGTCCAGCAAAGGACCATAAAGCTGATGGAGGAACTGGAGCATCTCTCCTTTCCTTTTGAGGAAAGGCTGAGGGAGCTGGAACTGTTCAACCTGGAGAAGGCTCAMGGGTGAATCCCATCCATGCGTATAAATACCTGARGGGAGGGTGCACAGAGGATGGAGCAAGGCTTTTCTCTGAATCTGTGATACATAGTACCACTAGCTGCTTCTGGTTGAGGAGCTCAAGACGTATATGAAATTGTTGTATATCCTACTCTGTATTTACAAAGGTTTCTTTGAATGAAATCATCTTAGCCTAATCTTAAAAAGAAAGGAGTCTTTTCTTTTTGATGTATACATATTCATCATAAGAATGATGGAAAAGAAGAAGAAAAAGGAGAAACCAGGTATTCTGCATAGCCTTGTAGTGGCATCTCATCTCTGATCTTTTATATAGTTAGTTCAGGGAGTGAGAGCATAATGTACAATGAATTAACATTGCTTGAATTTTGTATTGTTGGATACAAAGTGAGCCTCCCATTTCACAGAAATTTTGCCAAGAGCAAATCACCAGGATTTCATCTGTAACATTCTGCCACATGTGGGAAGGGGCACACCAGTGACTTTGCATGCAACTTAGGAAAAGGCTGAAGTTCTTAGTTAAAAACAATTTGGAGGAAAAGTGTTTACCTTGCAGCTACTGCTTTAATGTTCATTTCACATATTGTGACTCCTGTGATTCTGGAAGCTTTCTGATCCATCCTGGGCTGAAAGACCACAGGATGTGGGATCACTGTTGTTCTTGCTCTGGATTTGTACTGTTCCTTGTGCTGGGGGTTTAGTTTTCATTTCCAGGGAAACGTGTTGCTGTTTTCCCTGCAAATAGGAAAAAGGAAGGCTTGTGACAGAATAGCAGTCTGTCCTGAGAATAAATTTGGTAAAGGAAAARGCAGTCAGCTAGAGTTTTGGAGACTTCTCTGTGGATGTGACTGTACAGACTGTATGCATATCCAGATAAAACTGATTTCCTGTAAAGTAGTGGTATTTAAATACAAGGGAAGTGAATATGTCTAAAATTTAATTAACTTCATACTGAATATTGGCCTTGTCTTGCATTTGGACTTTTCCTGGTTATAGGGTGCTACTTGGTCAATGTGAACAAGAAAACCGTGCATGTTAAGAGCAAATACTTCTTCCTAAGCATTGTCTTGATAGCTATTTTTTCAATATAGAAAAAAAAACCCCACTTCTGCAAATTATACTCTAAGACTGCAAGGCAGAAGGTCATTAAGCAATGCTGTTTTGAAGAAATGAATGCTCTAGTGGTCRTTTTCTTTCAGATAGTGACAGGTGGTGCACATAAAAATGATGCTTAGATTTTGGCAGTCTTTGTTCATTTTAGTTCAAAAATCTCATGTGTTTTTTCTTTCCCTGATTTTAATATWAATTAAAATCCTTATAAATTTAAGGATCAAAGAGACTGCTCCCTCTTGCTCCCAGTCCAAGCACACAAGTTAATATGTTTTTGTATTGTTATGTGAAATACTTTTTTTTTTTCAGTATGTGTACTCAAATTTTCTTTGTGTCGATGACAGAAAAAGTGATTTTTGAGGAGCCTAATATGACTCARTGGAAGAAAAGTCTGCTCAATTCCATTTCATAGACTACTAATTTGCTAACATTAGAAAAACTTCCAGTCCTTCCRATTTGTTGGAAGGACTTCTCTCATGATATCCTAGAATTTAGAATAAAATTCTCTTTTGAAACAACAAATTCTAGCTGTATTAGAATACTTTTTCTGTATTGGTGGAGCCAGGCTTTTATACTTTGATGTTGACAGTAAGGGATTTTGAACATGGTTCTAGACACCAAAGATATGACTTCTTTGTATCTTTGGTGCTTAGAACTTGATTATTAATYAAAAGTATCTCATACTAAATGTCTGTTCCAAAAGGTTTTGACATAATTTGTGGTATTTTCTTTTCTGCTGTATTGTTATTGTCATTGTATGTAATGGCAAGAAACAAACATTATTTGCATCCTTTTGCTGGAAATGAGTAGGTATTTGCATTGTCTTCGTCATTAGTAAAGRTTTAAATCTTGGTAGTATGTATAACTATCTGTATTAAGAATAACTGATTCCTGATGTGTCTTTTTGTTTTGTTTCTTTTCTTTCTTCCCATAGAAAACCGTTGCATCTCCAACTGTTTCACGCCTTACAGATACTTCAAAATTCACGGGTTCTCACAAAGAGAGGTTTGATGCCAGTGGAAAAGGAAAAGGCAGAGCTGGCCGAGAAGATCTGGTGGATAATTCAGGATATGTATCTGGTTATAAGCATGCAGGCACATAYGATCATAAAGTACAAGGAAACAAGTAAGGCTGAGGGTTTACAACACAGAGGGGGATAGAGTATATATTTGTAAGCATAATGTTATGAATCCCATGTGTTTCGGTTATTGTGAATGTTGAGACTATATTGTCAAGAAGTTGTCTTCAGGAACTGGAACTGATTTCAACATCTGCTGAGCTACTTGCAGCACAACGCCACTTCATTACATTCCTCATGCATATATTGGCAAAAGTAAATAAATATATAGGTATGAAAAATACATCATTTTTTGAGCTTTAGGTTAAAAAAAACCCAAACCAACAAACAACAAAGCCAAAGTTGAGAGCAGTTATACCACACTTCGTCAATTCAATCAAAATATCTCAAACATTCCTAGATGTCCAGTTGCCCTGTTGGTGTCACAGAGAAGCTCTTGAAAAGAGGATCTTTTGTAGCAGTCTTTTTGAAGAATATCCCATTACTTATGCAGTTTCATTTGACTACTGTTTTGGAGTTTATTTTAAAATGTCTTACATGGGATCTGGCACTTTTCTTAAAACATTCAACAATATCCTATTGGGAAGTAAGTGGTAGTAATATACTAGGTGCTAGCCTGTAATTGTCGTATACCATTCATGGAAAAACTGAAAAAAAATGCTATTTCTAGGACAATATAGGCTCTGAACTATCTTRTGTCAACAGAAAGAGTTGGAAAATACCAGCCCTTACTTTCCTCCTGTCTATACTTTGTGCTTGTTACTGTATGTTCTGTAGCATGGTTCTGACTGGCTGGATTTGGATGGAGCTATTGTGCTAACATGGGAGGTGAGGAACAAGAAATTACTAAGAAAGTCTGTTAAGGATTTTCACAGTTTGTTTTCAGGTTTGCACTGCCTCACATTGGAAATGAAGGGGCATTAAGCTAATAACACTTTAAAATATTGTTTATGACTAAACACTGCCAATTAGATTGCTATTAAATTAATATTATTGTGCACATATGTTGGTACATAGTCCCTTTAAGCTCTAACATATGTAAGGAAAAACTTATGGCCCCTTAGAGTAAGGACATTTACAACTAATATGTATCTAATTAGGTGCAATTCACCCGCAAAAAAAAATACACCATTATAACTGGGCTACATTAGATCCATTTGAAGCCAAGGGCTTTGATTTTCTATTCAGTCTTGCTGCCAAACTTGGGAGTAATAGTTCTTGTGGGAATGGCATTCCACTGTTACCAGGAGAAGCAGTCCCACAGGGTTAACGTGCAGGCAGCTGAGTGTGACCTAGCTGGGGTCCAGAATGCCAAAATAAATTAACTAAAATAAAAAATGACTTGTTTTTTTTGGTAACATTGGAGAGAAAAGGCCCTTCCAGTTTTCTGCAAGAGCTGCACAAGTACCCATATGTATTGCTCTGATTCTCTAAAAGTTGTGCAAGATAGGATATTCAGTATTCAAAGTCAATTCTTTGCAGTTCTGCCTTGCTTTATTTCAAAAAGGACTTGTGCACTTATTTTCCTGTTCAACACTGAATAAAGGTTAACAGATGTATTGCTCTCTTTCCACTGTATCAGCGTCCCACTCAGTGCGTAAGTGTAGGTGAGCAGTGTGTGCTGTCATGCGCTGTGCAGGTGAACAGTCTGTGTTGGCCAATGTATTGAAAGGGARCACTGATTTTCAGCCCTGAAACTGTTCATGTTTTGTTCTGCTGACATTGTGTGATAGCCCGTCTTGTAACTTTGCCCTCAGTGACCCTTTGAGCCCACACTTCAGCCTGAAACCAAAACAATAGCAAACAAAAGGCAAGGACTTCCTTGTGTACTTGGACATCCTTTTGTTTTTTTATAATTTATTTTGATGTTTATTTTTAAGAGGGATGGAAGTTTGCCATAACTCAGCACACACTCAAGTAAATATTTAAATGGCTTTTCCCATGGATGGCTTTGGTTACCTGGGAAGATTTTAGATGTGTGTAAAGATGCTCAGGATGCAAGGTGTTCAGCTTTGTGATTCCTTTCCAAGAGTTACCCAGCATTCTTGAAGAATGGTTATCCACTCCTGTGTTGCATTGGTGACCTGCCACATTCGAAAGCAGAAAATAGCATATTTGATACCAACAGTGGCTAAATTATTCTGGCATGGTAGTAAACTGTCTAAATGTAAAGAACCTTCTTCTCTGTCCTTGATGCCTGTGCACCTGAAGATGGCTCCAGGATAATCCTGTTCTTTTTTAATCAATAAAAAGGCTGAGCCTCAAACCCTTGATGAATCCTTTAGCTAACTTACAGGCAAAACCAGTATCCCTGTTTTTCCTTTTGATTCAAGACTTGACTAATAACTCACTGGTAACTAAAAAGTTCTGGACTCAGCCTCACTAAAGGGTGAAGTCCAGCTAGCTGCAGAGTCCTACCAGCATGCTGTGGACCTGACTGTTTGTTGCTAGCTACCTGTCTCGTCTGGTACATCAGGTGACACTTAGATTTTAGGTGTACAAAGGACAGGCTTTCTCAGGTACCCAAACACAGAGTGTCAGTAATGCCAGAACATTGCCATACAGGAGGAGTGATTGGCTAGGAAGATTTTAAGGTATAATTAGGTTTTAAATTGTTAGTTCAAAGTGAGAGAGACCAGCGCATTTGTAAGATAGAAGGCATGCAAGGGAATTGAGAGTGCAGACAGATTCAGGCTGACACTGTCTAGAAATTGAGCTACTCTGTTCAGTTATAAGAGACTGATGGAACAAACTCGGGTTCTGCCAGAATTTACTTTGCATTGCTTGTGCAGTATAAAATCTCTGCTGTGAATCAAAGCACTTTATATGGACCTARTGCAAACTTTGAAATTCTTTCAGTAGCATAGTAAGCTTGGGATCAGAATCTGAGCAGGTGGTTCACATAGTAGTATTTTATTTTGAGGAACATGCTTTGTTTCTTTGTTTTTTCTTTGTTTCTTCTTTGTTTCTAAGGTCTGATGGTTTTAAACCTGAAAGTGGTGCATGAAAAGAAGTCATTCTGATGTGACAGTTACACAGGAAGGTTGTTGCTGGGAAGTCTTAGTACTTAGTATAGATTTTTCTCTTCTACTCGGTGTGAAAGATAATGGCTATGAATGAAAGCATCTTTTGTAGCTGTGTGTTAGGGGTTCACTACCTACCTAAGTTCTTACTTTTCCACTAATATTGGTAGGGAATTAAAAGCCTAAATACTTGATTATTAGCTGTTAAGTTCCAGGCCTGCTTGGGAATCAGGCAAAGTACATTTTCKTATTCATCTGCTCTTCCCTCAACTCTCAGGACAGCAAGTACAGCTTGTACCTCAAAGGTGACAGGAAGGGATAGCTGAGGAGATGCAGGAGGTGCCCCATTTTCAGCACTTAGAGTAGAGCATACTCTCTTCTGGTGCACCATGCTGTAGACTGTAACTAAATGTCATGTCTGAAGTAAGGACCTGGGAACCTAACAAGGTTTACTGTGCTCTCTTTTTTGGGAGGCATTTCAACTCATTCCATCTAAATTTCCAGCCTGATTTTCAGCATCTTACACTACCTACCTAGCACTGTCTTATATGACATCTTCTATAAAACCCTGTTGTTCCTAATTATCTTTGCTTTCTTTACTACAGAAGTTGCTACCAATAGAAATGTGATCGGAAAATTCAGATAGCTTTTAGAAATAACTGCCTTAAAGAACAAACTCCAATTTTATTTAATTATTGTGGCAGTACACAATCCTTATCTGTATGTCTACTGAAGCTTAACCTGACCATCTGAAGTTTTACAAGATTGAGGACAAGAAATAAAAAGCCTTGCTAAGGCAAATGAATAGTTCTTACAAATAATTTTTTTGAAATAACATAGTTTTAAAATTAAATATGCAGAACTCAAAAGGCATTTTCTTATTAGTGCTTGCTTACTAATTCCCTTTAGTCACTCCATGAGCATTAGTTGAGAACTTTGCTAGGAGTTTTGCAACCATCAGTATGGAAATATCAAAACCAGAAATTGTCCTCCTCTTTGTGGTTATCAAAGCTATCACAGTAGTGTTACTGAGAAGCAGACACTAAAAAAAGCCACATAGTTTCATGAGTCCTATATGAACAGTTTGTAATAAAATATTTGGAATCCCAAGGGAAATATTAAATATTAGACAGTAGCCAAAATTTAGCCCCTTTTTTAAAAAACCTATAATACTTCTTACCTCCTTTTCATTTAGGGAAGGGAAAGGGAGATTTCAAAACTACTCTCATGTGACAGCTTCTGTTTTTCACCTGCATAGAGAGGGTTTTTTGAAGATATTTTGGATTGAAGTATGTATTTTACTGACCTTACCCAAATTAAAAATTTGTCTGACAATTTTTTAGCATTATACAAAGTTTTGTTCACAAATTACCATTTCAGTAATCCGTATTTTCCCTCTATTGGCTCAATTAATATTTTTATGGTAGCTGGAATTAGGCAGGTTTGGCATGCAAGTGRTAGGTATCCCAGCCATCTGTAACCATCTGTAGAGAAAATCCTCATGTATATTCCTCCGAAACCAAAACTTTGAAGTTGTAATTGATAGGTTTTTTCCTTAAGGCTTTTCATAGTTATAAAATGAATGTTAATCCTTTGTGCCTGCATGTATGGTAGTGAAAACATAACCCTGCCTTCAGTGATGCATGTATTCTGGGGGCACATGCCTGTCACCCGTGAATAAGAATTCTCTGTTTGCACTGGCCAAGAGCAAGCTTTTTACCTTCATGATAGAAGAAACGTAACGTGTTACACTGGTATGTGTCCTCTTAACTGACTGTCAGCCTTGCGTGTGCCAAAATAACTATGCCTTTGTGTATGTTGTTTGTAGTGTGAATATTATGTTCTTGGCTCATCCCTTAGTTGGTATTAAGTAATGTAATGCACAAGACTTATGTAGGTTGTGTATGTCTACACATACTCTTTGGATCCAGCTCAAGTARTTAAATTGTATAAATGTTGATGCAAACCTTTCAATCTTATTGGGCCAAGCTCTAGTCCTGCAGCAGGTGCTGTTCATCTTGGTC